ACTTTCAACCAAATGTAACTTGCTTTGGATACATTTTAATTGAATCTCTTCAGTTAGATACCTTTGACGCCATATGTAGATTTAATTTACTCGAAAATGATCTGAAATCTTAACACAAATTAAACATTGTAAAACATTGGATCACTTTGTACATCTTCATTACTAATTAAGAGTCATCATTTCATTCACGAAATTCTATTACTGAAAATAATGAAAACGTTTCTCATCAATCAAAGCAGGGTAGATCAGTATGACACATTTTGAACAACATCATTCTCAAGTTGTACAAGTATACTATATTGATCTCATGTTCATGTTGTACTAGATCACCACTACTCTATCATTTAGTTATATGTCCTAATACGGTTTGATTCCTCAGTTTATTGTTACATTATAAGATGGCTCATCAAAAACTACTACACTTGTCTAAATTGAAACAAATCTAGGGAGATTGTTGAATTTTGTAGACGACATCAAGGACTAATTTTAAGCGGAATTGAATGAGTGGCAAAGCAGCAGGACCAGACAACATCCCAGCAGAGGCACTAAAGGCAGACGTAGCGGCAACTGCAAGGATACTCCACATTCTCTTCAATAAAATTTGGGATGAGGAACAAGTACCAAAAGACCAGAAAGAGGGACTTCTGATCAAAATACCGAAGAAAGGCGATCTCAGCAAGTGTGATAAGTACAGAGGCATCACTCTTCTCTCAATACCGGGAAAAGTCTTCAACAGGATATTGTTAAACAGGATGAAGGACTGCGTAGACGCCCAACTCCGGGACCAACAAGCAGGATTCCGTAAGGATAGATCGTGTACAGACTAAATCGCAACTCTACGGATCATTGTGGAACAATCAATTGAATGGAATTCATCACTCTACATCAACTTCATTGACTACGAAAAGGCATTTAAAAAAAAAAAAAGAACAACACTATGGAAACTTCTTCAACTCTACGGCGTGCCTCAGAAGATAGTCAATATCATATAGAGTTCATATGATGGATTAAACTGCAGAATCGTGCATGGAGGACAGTTGAAAAACTCGTTTGAAGTAAAGACCAGTGTTAGGCAAGGTTGCTTAATCTCACCCTTTCTCTTTTTCCTGGTGATCAACTGGATCATGAAGATGTCAACATCTGAAGGGAAACACGGGATACAATGGACATCTAGGATGCAGTTGGACGATCTAGACTTCGCAGATGATCTGGCCCTTCTATCCCAAACGCAACAACAAATGCAGGAGAAGACGACCAGTGTGGCAGCAGCCTCAGCAGCAATAGGTCTCAATATACACAAAGGGAAAAGCAGGATTCTCCGATACAACACAGAATGCACCAATCCAATCACAATTGACGGAGAAGATTTGGAAGATGTAAAAACCTTTACATATTTGGGCAGCATCATTGATGAACACGGTGGATCTGATGCAGATGTGAAGGCGCGGATCGGCAAAGCAAGAGCAGCATATTTACAACTGAGGAACATCTGGAACTCAAAGCAACTGTCAACCAACACCAAGGTCAGGATTTTAAATACAAATGTCAAGACAGTTCTACTGTATGAGGAGGAAACCTGGAGAACTACGAAAGCCATCATCCAGAAGATACAGGTGTTTATTAACAGTTGTCTACGCAAAATACTTCGGATCCGTCGGCCGGACACTATTAGCAACAACCTACTGTGGGAGAGAACAAATAAGATCCCAGCAGTGGAAGAAATCAGGAAGAAGCGCTGGAAGTGGATAGGACACACATTGAGGAAAGCACCCAACTGCGTCACGAGACAAGCCCTTACATGGAATCATGAAGGCCGAAGGAAAAGAGGAAGACCAAAGAACACATTACGCCGCGAAATGGAGATAGACATGAGAAAAATGGAGAAGAATTGGATGGAACTAGAAAAGAAGGCGGAGGACAGAGTGGGTTGTAGAATGCTGGTCGGCGGCCTATGCTTCATTAGGAGTAACAGGCGTAAATAAGTAAGAATGATGATTGCACAATATTGTGAACTGACAGGAGATAGACATGCAGACATCTGACGTAGGCTCACCATCCGCCAATAAACTAGAAGGTCCTTGGTTTGACCCTCAGGAAAGTCACCCAAACTACACACTGAACAATGAAAATAATTTCCAGTCTAAATTAAAAAGACTATTTCATAAGACGGGAAAAATACATCCCATTCATTCCAGGTTAAATCAATTACTTTCTGTCAAATAAACAATCATAACCGTAAAGTTGGATAAAATTATGTGACCGTTAAGTAAAAGTAATCACAAATGGTCCAAACAAATCTAACTAGGGATTCTAGATAGTTGAAGTCAGAATAATTCATAATTTCTATATGGCTCTGATCTTATTTACTGATATGCAATTAAGAATAAGATACACGTATAAATCTAATTAGAAAAGCACTGAAGACTAGAAAGTAATAGACAGTTGTTCTGTCGTAGCATGAGATTCATAAGCAATGTACACTTACGAACTTACTAGACATAGAAAACACGACCAATAAGCCTCTTGACGAATGCTTAACTTTCATACTACTGGGTTGAGATCAATCGGTTTGCATTTCCGACTTTAATATATATCATGTGTTAATTAATGGCTAACTCCGTTAAGTTATTTTTAGAGTTTAAGTGAGTATCTATAACTATTGTTGTTTAGGATTGTTAGTGTTAGCATAAATATCACTAATAGGATTGAATGAACGCTCCACGATATCTTGATTGTATTAAGGTTATAAATGTTAATCATTGAATTACAAAATGTTAATTTGAAATTTAAGCTCTCGTCAAGGTTTTAGGTTCTATAATTGATGATGTGGTGTATGTATGCACAATTGAGACATTCCATACTACAACAAGATAGATGTCCAATGCTTTCCAGTTTACATAGTTATGTAACAAACGTCAGCTAACAGTTACAACCAAAGATAATTTATTACTTAACATGCCATATATTTGGCAGGAAAAGTTTGTTGTCCTAGACATATTGAGCATATATTTTGATAATAAATAAACTAGTTATTATTTCTTTATTACTGATGATTATACTTTTAAAATTGATTGTTACGGGTAATGAGAAAGCTAAGATCGTCTAATTTTCAGTCACACCCTATGATAAGAATCGAAATCATTTTCAATATAAGTAATGTAATATAGAAGAAGTAATAACATCATTGATGACCACACCAAATACTTGACTAAGGGGTTAGCTAATGTATAAATTGACAAGAATTAAATAAGAGATAAGGGAGTTGATGTACACACTAAACACTTCTTTATTTATAGGGGAAAAAAATTATGACATAAGATTGAGTTAACTTCCAAAAATATTGTAAAGTAAAGTATCCATAAATGAGGTGTATTGGAGTTATTTTTGTAACAAAAATCATTAGATTTTTAGGTCTGAGGTCGGTTAAAGTGAGAAAGGACCATCTCCTTACAAATCCTAGAAACTGATTGTAAATAACAATACAATGTCATGTAACGAATAGGTTTACTTTAAATTTCAATCGAAAATAATTCATAAGCAATGATGGATAGTGGCTAGCAGTGGTATACAAGACGCGCGTTTCGTCCTATGTGAGACTCGTCAGCTGTATGTATCTGCATCCAAGAGTTGATATTTACTCTTAAAGTGTGCAACAAAATAAAACCGTTATATTTCTTATTTCATTTTATCGGTTATGAAGTATAATTTAAGAGGTTTGTTTCCACTTGATTATACTTTTTTTAAAAAAAGAAAAAAAAACATTTATGTTTTACCCACATTGTAATTTCAAGAAATCAGTATAGTATAGGTGAAAATATTTTTTTTGTTGTAAAATTTTGTTAAATTTTTTTATTATATGACCCTAGGGGAAACTCAGAACACAAATAAAACTCATTTAATACTCATAACCTCGTTGATTATTTATGGTCATTTTAAATATAAACAACACTGCTGTTATATAAACTTCATCAAATCTGAATGAAATATTTATTAGCTAGTGATAATAAGTTTACTTTATATTTCGTAAAGTAGTTAGTGTTAATATATAGATTTTATCAGAAGGGGTTTTGTGGAGATTTTAGAAATTTCACTGGTTGAAATCATGAGTCAATTGAAGCTAGACCACCATAGAAAACCTGGAAGTACTGGACGGCCGTTTCGTCCTAGTGTGAGACTCCTTAGCAGTGCGCATCCACGATCCCGCCTTGGATACTTAATTGTTTGTTGTTTTCATTACATCATGGAACATTACACATAATGAAATCAATTGAATTTCTTATTGAAATCTTAAACAGATTGTCTCATAAATGGAACTTTTTCAAACTGATAATGATACATTTTATTTGTAATAGTTTGAATTTTCCCATTGTTCATGTTATACAGTACAGTTGATCAGTCTCCTTTTGTCATGTGTACATTCTGAGTAGAGTGTTTTGATATTACTAGTCGGTCACAAGATTTTCATATAATTAGCATAACGGCTAGTTGTGAAATTCAATAAACATGTTATATCCTATAGACAACATTTTATTTGAATGTATCTTCATTCAAGTGTCGAAATTCTCATCAACATTCTATTATAATAACTTTTACTTCAAAACTCCTGATGTATTTTTGACAGATAACAAACAAGAAAAAACGTTTAGTTTTTCTAATTATATCGTTGATTATTTATGTGAAACAAAATGTACGAAGTTCAGGTTTGCATATTCCTGGCCAAGTATTTGATTTTTTGTACACACACGAAATGATAAATACAAGTATAAACATACATGCCAACAATTGTAGAAGAAGAAGAAGAAGAGGAGTACATCAGAGTTGACTTAGAAAACGAAGAAAAAAGAAGAACGAAACATATGTGATCTTTATTAGGCTCATGTGTCAATACTTATTATAATTCTCATTTGTCTATCTATATGAATCATTAGGATAAGATTTCGTAAACTAGAAGATGCCTAGTTTTTTTCTTTTTCTTATATTCTTTCTTTTTTCCCAATTAGTTTCTGCTTCGAATGGAATCGCTAAATTAATTTACTGGTTAGTGATGTTATTATGTTTTTTTTTTGTTCGCTTGCTTGTTTGCTTCATTTGTCAGTTTGTTATACCCATGAGGATAAGCAACTTTGTTTTATATTCTTTATTGTTAAATATAAAGTTTTCTTCTGTGTGCTATTTTTGTGTACCTTACAGTTGGTTTTCGTTTAAGTAGAAATTTTAATACAGTAAAAGTAATTTCGTGATTTGTGTTTCTTTCTCATCACTGTATTGATACTGTTGTATCTTTTTACACACCTTGAGTCTTGTTGAATATACAGTATGCTACTAAATCAATGTGAATATCAAGTAGAAGTTTGTAGCATATTTACTCATGTATTAATCTGAATCTTCAATGAATATAGATTGTAAAATGCAATGTTCATATGAAGAATTTACAGTATTCAAAGAAAGGGGTTTTTGTGGATATTATAGTAATTTTATTAGTTGAATTGATGAGTCAATTAAAGCTTGATCACCATGAGAAACCTGGAAGCATTGGATAGCCGTTTCGTCCTAGTGTGAGACTCCTCAGTTGTGCTCACCGAAAAATGGATGTTTTCATATTTGATAAACGAAACTTTAGAGAAATCATCTTCATAGAGAATAAATATTCTGGTTGTGTCAAAATAAATTAGACTGTGTCAGAGTGATCCGTACTACTTCATCTCATAAATAGTTTGAAAATTCATGAATAAACGTAAAAATTTAATAGTATGCGTTGTGATTTCGGTAATCCGTTAATTATCATGCGACTAAATAAACACATACGGCACGACCCATATGACTTTGATACTTAACCAAACCATTGATGCGTTAATCAGTACGAACAGCCTAGAGTCAACTCTGAGTCCTGATTGGTCTTTCCACCTAGCCCAACCCTTTAAATTCAGAACACAAATATCAGTCTTGGTTGTGTGAATCACATATTACAAACATACTTGATTTATATACAACCAAATCAGACCGCATCATACCATAAAATAGAAAATAACAATTATCAAAGATCAAGCCAAAAAGTGGTAGTGATTGTGAGATACTGTAACTGATCGATTGAAATTAACTTAAGAATAGTAAATGGTATATCAGTAGCTAATAGATCAGATGGAAGCTTGTAATGTAAGGAATATGACTATACATATAATATAGTTACTGAATAATAATCCAATAGGAATATACACCAATAATACTCCATAAATAAATAAAGTCCGTGACCAGTTCTGATTTTAATTGTTATATACAGACTAAATTATATTTAAATTTCACTATTTATAATCATGCTATTTAGTTTAAAATAGATGTAGAATGTAAAACTGTTTGTAATCAATTCGTTGTCAAATTCTACAGTTATAAATATGTAACTATTGTACTACAAGGTCCACAATAAAATCAACCTATTTGCAAGCTAGTAAAAACAAGCTAGGATTGTAGGGAAAAACAATAGAGAACTCTATGAATAATGTTATCCTACTTCATTACACCTCATCTACTTAGCTGAACTCATCTTGATCAACTCCAAAAAAAACTCAGACGCAGGTAACCGAAATCGATTTATTCGGACTTTCGGTCTATTGTGGGCTACAAATAGGCCATCCTGGATACAAGGTATATAATCAAATCTCCTTAAGACTTATTCTTAATTTACAGATTGATTTTTCTTAATTCATGTTAACTTTTTATCACTTTTGACATAATTGCTCTGACAAGACTCCATATTATATTTAGACAACTTTAAGACTACTGTTATTAACGTATTGACACCAGCATAAAACGTCTCCTGCAATATTTCATATTCACATAACTTACTTTATGATACTGATCGTAACTAAACATCTTAAAGGAAAATTCCTCTCACGTTACTTAAATGACCAATAAAATTTATGGCGGTCGGTATTCGATATAATTCTTTAAACTTCGTTTACTGCTCGTCCTGATAACTGTTATAGATAACACCCAACGGTGCATGAATCAGAAGGCAAATGCAAAGTGTTGATTAAGTTTATTATTGCACCACGCACAGATAACCAAAATTACAGGTAAGCTAAGAAAGCATGGAAGAATAGTGCAGAAAAGCAAGCGGACAAGTGATTGAGCGTGCGAGTCAATGAGCAGGATTAAAATGTACATATATATACATAGTGAAAGGAATGAATCATTGGATCAATTAAGCGACTAACAGTAAGGCTAGCAGAATGAATATGTACGTAGGCGGTAAGCAATGCACAAGCATACATATTCATACAAGCGCAACAATAATAAAAGTACAATGTTATAAATAAGTTGTCGTCGTTGTACAAATGACTGTCTGCTAAATAAGTTAATAAACGGGTCTAAGCAAATTAAATGTGAACAAACAAAAATATATGTGAGCTGCTATAAATTAACAAATGAAATATTTCGAATGTATTCAATCCGTAATTGATGCAAAAGTTCCTCATTTGAACGAATCACATTGTCTCATTCGTTTATTTTAACCTAATGGATTTTTAAGTGTACAGTCTGAACCCGAGGATTTGGAAGTAATTAATCACCGCAATATTCTTCTCTCTTAAAAATACTTTATGGTAATTTCTAAGTTCTGGTATTACAACAGCTAGGATATTATGGTATATGTAAACATTTGATTAAATTACTGTTATAAATGCAAGTTACATTTCAATTACAACAAACCATTAAAATCTCAATAGTTATTAAAAGGATCATGTTAGAAAACAATTTACCTTGAAGTGTTGACTTATCATCTTTATAGAATGAAGTTATGTATATATGAGACAGGACATGGATAAGAGAGATAATTATAAACATAGTAGAATTCAAACTCAAGCTTACATCGTATATCAGAACACTCAGAGGACTATTCTCGAGTCCAGTGCCTAAGACAGCCCAGCCAATCTAATGTGGATACTGTGAATATCCTTATAATAAAACCACTTTGATTAAAAAGGATGATAATTACCTTTCTTAAAGATTTAACTAAAATTCATAAAGTCTTTGTGATGATTGCATAAATGACTATAAGTATCATTAAAACCTGGACTGTTTGACATAAGCATTGTAATTCATAACATGATTTTGAAAAGAGATCCTAATTCATCGGTATAAATGTTTAGCCTACCAAAGAGAACATAATTCTACGAAATCTGTCATAACAACCAAGGTAGAATAATATGGATTCATTTTATTTCCCAGTTACTCTTGAGCTGCTTACAACCGTGTTTGTATTGAAATGTAACGTTGAATTATATCCAAATATAAGTTAACAAACATTGATGACGGAAAGGAATTGTAGAGGAAAAACTCGGCAAAGAAAATAATTGTGTGAGATTTCCTGAAAGAGCTCATTTACGGTTTCAGTGTATCCAGTAAGCAAAACGTTAGTGATAATTAGCTTAAAATTAATTAATTCTACAGTCAGAGAATCGCATTTAAGAAGACGCTTCACATAATATCATATCTTATTATAAGACGTAGTGCCGATGATTGAATTTCACAGTTTACATTGTAGTTAGGTACTCGTTGAAAACTAGAAGACATTGGATGGCTATTTAGGTCTAATATGAAACTCCTCAACAGCAATACACACACACACACACACAAAACCTCTCTCTGAAAATGGAACCCAGAACCTTCTAGCCTCACGGATAGCGCCAATTTTTCAAATCAATAAACCCGAAATCCAATGGCATATATGTGTATCTGTTTATTGCTTTTAACTAAATTATATCGATCAAATCAATTTTGGGATACTTACTCCTTTTTCTTTGTTAATTTAGATGATATACAATTTGAACAATACGATTATTATTTAAATCAACTACACTGACTTGAATTACATTTTGCAAAAATTACAATCAAAAAGAATATTTCATAAATGGACGCTGCATTTATTTGGAATTTATCTAAACTTGGACGCATTGGATCTAGACGTTTACAATTTGATGATGATTTTGCCGATCGATTGAATTATCAATATACAAGTGTTTTATTATTTTTATTTATCGGTCTTATTGGTGTACGTCAATATGTTGGTAAGTTGTAAAGAAAAACATCTTTACTTACTGTTACAGTACAAAGATTATGAAGTAGTGATGAAAATAGCCAGTTAGATAATTGAAAGAAAAATAAAGGTAGTTCAATAAAGGAAATATTCTTTACAAGAAAAGATATGAACACCAAAGCCACTATGGTTCATGTCTTTGATTCGAGATCCCTTTGATGCCGCATGATTGACTGCATAGATAATTTTGAAAGATGATTGTGGTGAGACGATCTGACCAGAGTTGATGATGTGTTCCTGTACTTATCTATTGACTGTTTTTCATTTTGCTTTTAATAGCAACGAGGGATAGTGTTTTGAGATGCGTTTGGAAATTATTTCATTTTGGCGCCCAATGTACACTGTTTCAAAAGTGCAAGTAAATTTATTCATTTAGATCGACGTGGCCAAAAGCTCAAGTTTATTCCTAATGTATTCATAGATAATGAACCGTCTGAAGGTGACAATTGAAAGCTACACTGTGAGAAAATGTTTCCTCAGATATTTTGAAATTTAGCCTTCCACGAATTTCTGAGCGATGTATCCTTGAAACTCAATTTTAATGTAAAAGATTTTTTTGAACTGCTATGAATCTTCCGGCTTGTAGTCTAAGTGTCAAGTTTCTAATGACGAACCTGGGTAAATAGCCATTTCTCAGAAGTATTTGTAGAAGTTGATGTAGTTGGTCATTTGTTGTGTCGTTGAAGCACATTCTCTTAGCCCTTGAGAGTAAAGAGTGGATAAAGTTTTTCTTTCTGCTTGATGGAAAACATATTTCGAAATTCGTATACGGACCATTCCTACTTGGTTTTCTGTATATAGACCTTTGTAACGAACTCTCTGAGCGTTTTGTCAATAGGTTATCAAGAAAACGAAATACTGAATTGGCCTATGCTTCTAAATATGGATTCAATCATTTGATGAAGACTGTCAAATTTATTCAAGATGATATCGAGATCTATATTTTCTTCACAGTTTCACATAATTATCATTAATAGTTATTCTCACCATCAATTAGATTTGGACTTCGCAGATGACATACACAAATGAAAAAGCAACATCCTCAAATACAACATGGACAATACCAACACAGTCACAATTGATGGAGAAATTCTGGAAGAGTTGGAAACTTTCATGTATCTAGACAGCGTCATCGATGAACATGGAGGATCTGATGTAGATAGGAAGACAAGGATTGACAAAGTAAGGACAGCATTTCTACAGTTAAAGAACATATGGAACTCAAAATAACTATCAACAATACCAAAGTCAGAATCTTCAATGCAAACATCAAGACAGTTCTACTGCATGGAGCTGAAACGTAGACAACTACTAAAACCATCATCAAGAAGGTATAAGTACTTATAAATAGTTGTCTACGCACGATACTCAATATCCGTTGGTCAGATACCATCATCAACAGCCTACTATGGGAGAGAACAAACCGTCTTCCAGATGAAGAGGAAATCAGGAAAGGACGTTAGAAATGGATAGGATATACATTACAGAACTCATCAAACTGCATCACGAGGCAAGCCGTAACTTGGAATCCTGAAGGGGAGTGGAAAAGGGGAAGGCCAAAGAACACACTGCATCGTGAATTGGAAGCAGACATAAAGGGATGTTGTTTTACCGTTTCCTCAGTTCTAAAACTTGTCTTTTTCATAAAACAAGAAATATAGAATCAAAGTGTTTGTATCATATTTGAACATTAAACTGTTGAGTTCCATACTAAGACGAAACGGCTGTCCAGTGCTTCCAGGTTTTCCATGGTAGTCTAGTTCAATTGACTCATGAAATCAACTATTAGATCTACCGTAATATCCACAAAACCTCTTTCTGATAATGATACTGTATAGATATATTGTTTCCAGATGGTTTGTTACAAATAAAGCTTAGTTACTTTGACCATAAAATGTAAAAAAATAAAATTCTATTTAATCCACTGTATAGGTAATTTAAAACTTGTAGAATTACATATAATTCTGGATAACATTAAAGGTAGTTGAAAAACAATTCACTATTAAAGTTGATATTCAAATATACAACTCATCAAAATTTACTTGGTATTGTTTACTTGAATCTTCCTATTGATGTTTGGGACTGCGATTGATGGCATATGTGCATCCTGTGCGGACTGCCTCGATATTGCCTTAAGTCAAAATCGTTATAGGTGAAGATGGATGGTGGCTAGCATTGGAATACAGGACGCGCATTTCATACTATTTGGGACTCGTCAACTTCATGTACCTGTATCTCTGAGTTGATGATCACTCCAGGACTCGAACTCAATGCCGTTCGCTTCAAACGTCACCGCATTATCCACTTAGCTACTGAGTTGTGGAGTGAACATCAATTGCGGTACATCCAGCTGACGAGTCTAAAATAAAACGAAACGCACGTCTTGGATTCCATTGCTAGTCACTATCCATGTTTGCTTTTACGACCCATCTGTTTAAATTCAAGGAGGACATTATGTCAGGAGATACTACAGTCGTGTAAAATATTCTCATTCTGATTTCATAATTAGGTTTTCAACATTCATTACGATCAGTAATGACGTCAGAGATCACTTGTTTTTTTTAATAATAAAATCGTTGTAAATACATAACACAGGATAAATCTAAAAATGGGATAGTTTATTCCACGGTTCACCTTCAATACATGTTCAATGTGTTCACCGAAACTAGTTGGTGATAAATTTGAAGAAAGCTTTAGTGATCAAATAACATAGATGGGAAATCTATTAGGATTCAGAGGGAAATTGACTTAAGTTTCGTCTATCTTTGAGACATTTTAATCATGCTTACTATTGAATGCATGGCCTTCAAGTTAAAAAGTATATGCCTTACCATTTAGAACAGTAAAATATTCAACTATATATCATCAGTCAGCTGGCAGTACAGCACGAACCAATCTCATAAATATAAGAGATTCTATCAGTAACAATCTCTCTTCTTTAGTTTTGACATTCAATTTTGAAATTAGTTACTAACTGACGCAACAATTATTATTCATTTGAAATAAATACACAGATTAACTTAATTTAAAGCATAATTTTACTGAAAACATTGAATTACAGAAAACAAATATTTTTTGTTGTTGGTTAACCTTATTTTGTTACTAAGGTTAGATGATTGTCTTAATGGGAGTAAACTGTCCATTTATTCATGAATCCCTGTTGACAATAAATAACATCTTGAAATATTCCGTATTAACAATGATAGATTGTTTAATCTATTAAGATGATATTTACACTTTATCACATCAGATAAATACAATGAAAATAGGTTTACAGTTGTAGCGTTATATACAAAGATGTATTGGGGGGGGGAGGTACTAATTGAATGTACAAGAATCATGATGCTTAAGGAATTAATATACCAAAGAAAGGTTAATTCATCTATTAAAAAAAAAACAGAAAATTTATGATTCACCTAAATTTCTACTTTAATACACTTAAGTAGTAGATAAACTCTTAAGATAAGGATGATGAGAGAATAATTAAGTGACATCATCCATATTCATCTTTTATTTTTTATCTTTTAGAGCATCTGAAATTATACGTTTCTATTCGTTAATAAGAACCATGGAAATGTAACTTAAATATTTGTAACTTTTAACAGATTCTATTTTATCATTGTAATATCTTAGATTTAAATATAGAACCTTCTATTGAGAAATGTAACATGATTTGATATGGGTTTTTGTTTCAATATTGTTTAGTTAGTTCATTTTGATGTTGACTGCAATACTGAATTATAAAAATAAATTAGCTCTTAAAAGATGACTTCTTCTAAAATCTCAGGTTTTCCGTTTCTGTTTTTGTATTATTAAGTAACGGGTCTCGTTTCATCGCTTGTTATCATTATTTACTATGAAGTAAACTAACTCAACCGAACTACTTAAGTTGTATTTGTAACAGATTGATCTAAGTTGTAAATAGGATTGAAAACTATTTCATTGTATTATGGGACTGTCCAGCTGTGCATACTCACTACCCTGCTAGAGATCGAACACTGGGACTTCTAGTCTCTCAGGGAACACTTATCAATAGGACTACTGGGTCATTATCCAGTAGTACGATCTGTACTTTAATCAACTTGCGATGAGGAGTGACAATCATCCAATGAAGTTTCTATCCCGACATACTTGAACTTTCACGACTGATTGCTGACAAGATATGTACTAAGATCAATGGGTTGTTAAGTGCTCCCTGGTTTGTAATGGTGTAGCGAACAGAACAGAACATGGGTGAGGACAATCGGATTGTACTTAGCACAAAATTACAGTTACTTGGTAAAATAGAAAAACCATACTATAATACTTAATTTGCAAAATGTTCAATAATTGTCTCGAACTTCGTTGTTCTTGCATTTCCATACTAATTGCTTTCTATTCCCGTTCTTCCTTTCTTGATCTTCCCGATATTGTACTGCCAGACATTACATTCCTGACTCGCGTCATATACTACTTATATCAATATAAGTAGCACGCACCACAGTGGTAGCCTAATTGAGATCAATATGTGACAAATACTAATTTTTAAAAAAAAAGTCAGTTAACCAATTTTTGCTAACTACGAGTAAAAAACCATTTTTGCTATTTATGCTTTTATAATTCTTTGATGAGAATAAATATCATAAATTCCTTTTAGGAAAAATGCAAAACTAACTTTGATCTTCCGTAAAACCATAGTTTATTATTTGAATGAAACATTTTTTTTAAAGGTAAACCTATTCAGTGTTGGATACCTCAAGAATTTACAAGAGGATGGGAAGAATACGCCGAAAATTATTGTTGGGTAGCAAATACATATTTTGCACCAGTTGAAAATCGATTACCACCAGTTCCAGATAGACGTGAATCACTTCTAGTTTATTATCAATGGGCACCAATTGTAATGGCTGCTCAAGCACTACTATTCTATTTACCATGTTTATTGTGGCGTTTAGGCATGGCACATTCTGGTTTTAATTTGCATCGTGTCTTACAAATGGCGGCTGAAGCAAATGAAATGTTACCAGAAGCAACGGCTAAAACTGTTCGTATTCTGTCATACTATATGAAAAGTTGTATACAACGACAGAGATTGTATAAGTAAGTTTTGTTACAAGTAAGGAATATGAAGATTAAATGGAAATCATATTAGATGTATATTGAATTACAATAAATAACATTGCCTGGACACAAGGTAAAACTGTCCTTTATTACTTCAGTAAATGTTTGTTAAAATATTGTTTTAAGATGCCTTTCTTCAGATTAAACTGTTATTCTACACTACTTGAATATACATTTTTAATATAAAATTACAAAAGGTAATTTGATTAGGCCATCATTGATTTCAATGACGGTCATTTAAGTGTTTCACTTTATCAATACGGCATAGAATTAATCCTTCAAAACACAGTTTCCACTTAATTTTTCTTCACAGTCTCTTGAAATCTTATTATTACATGATATCATGTAAAAGTCTTTATCATCACAACTAACTGGTCTATATCGTTAGGAAGGGATAATTCAAAAACTTCCTGACCTGTTAAACAGGTCATGAGATTGATCACCACCCAGTGATCAATCAATTGTGATTACATCTCAGTCCTACAGGAGGTTAGTCACGGCTCGGATAGCTCAGTGGTAACGTCTCTGACTGTGAAGCTGGGTGACACGAAATCGAATCCGCCAGGGAGCACCAGTTCCCTCAAGATTACAGGTACACCTTGCTGACGAGTGCCAAGTAGCACGAAACCCGGGTCCAGGGTTTCCTGTTGACTACCTCCAACCACCATCTAATCTCAATACATAGTGCTCGCAGTGTCGAGTCACCTAGACTAGTGGCCACATTGCAACATGATCGATAGCATTCAATCTGCACTAATAAGGACTAGACAGGCATGAGATTGATCACCACCCAGTGATCAATCAATTGTGTTAAACAGGTTATTTACTACTTGAGTTCAGCAGTTAACTAGATAATGTGTTCACTATTTTAAGTAGAAGTTCTGAATTCCGGTGAGATGTTGGCACATGCAGCTGATAAGCCCCAGATGAAATGAAACGTTTAATGTGGATTCTAATTATAGCCAAGTACCAAATATAATGATAAAGTGATATTCTTTAGGATTTTAGGTCAGTTCACATAAATCCAGTATTTTCAGTGGTTTAAATGAACGATTGTTCAGCAAAAATGAAATTGGCAATGATAAAAAAATGTGATGTATCATACCACTTAGTTGATAATCTGTAAACCCAAAGATAAGTAATTTGTTCATGGTTTTTCAATAATAAAGCCATTTTGTAAATGATAATGTACTCGTGTCTCTTAACTGTTGAATATTCTGATATAACTATTAACAAGAAAATTTAATTCCATAATTTGTAAAGAAGTTTTGCTATGAAACTATAATTTATAGACGACCTTTTAGCAACGCCAAAGTGACCTTGAGAGTGTATATCTACTTACTAGGGCTAAATCAAGGTTATAAAGCAGTCTGAAGAATAAAGATTATGATTTACAGTTATTGGTAAGGGTTAGGAATTAGATTTAAGGCTTTTCATTACGAACTGACATAAGCTAAAATGCCAAGACGCTATTTGGCCCTAATAGATGAGTAAATTTCGCGCCAAAACCAAGGACTTATTAACCTGAATCTGATCGGTTCGTTCGATAATTAGTCTCGTCAAATTAAATTAATATTTGAATAGGTTTTCCATGAAAGAAGCTTTGTGTCATGTCAAATATAGTTTCAACTAACGTATCTCTCTAAATAATATCTTTATTTTGTTAGATATACTAATCAATACAAAAATTTCGGACTTTACAACCGATTGGAAAATGAGACTATAATTGAAGAAGACCAATTATTCAATACATGTACATTAGATAATGAAGGTAAAACATTAAGAAATATGAATACTGGTCGATTGTATTCATCAAATCATGTTTGTTCAAAAGATGTGATTGAAGCAGAAAATTCTTGTCGTGTAATTTCAAAACCATTAAATGGTAAACCGATTAGTACAGTAAAATTACCAAATGAACATATTATTTGTAATGAAAGTACAGAACATTCTATGAGTTCTAATTCATCTTTAGAAAATTTACGTAAAGGTCAGTAGACCATCAACATATTTTATTTCAAAGTTATTCAACAGTATTTATAACTGTTAATGATGATGTATTGTTGAATTATAGAGGTTATTTTATTTCCTGATATGTTGTTTTCTTTTATTACTCGATTTTTGTTGCTACTTATAAGTATCAGGTGTTTTGTGGATATTATAGAAATCTTAGTAGATCATGAGACAAGTGAAGCTAGACCACCATACATAACCTGGAAGCACTTGACTTCCGTTTCGTCCTATTGTGGGACTCCTCAGAAGTGCGCACCCAAACTTGTTTTTTTTATCCGATCACGCCTCGCGAGATTCGAACCCAGGACCTTTCAGTGTCACGCGCGATTGCTTAACTTCTAGACCACTGAACAGGCATCCAATGGTGTTATTGTCTAACTTCAACTAATCAACGAAACTGAGTGACACATCAACCACAGTCCTCGGTGAGTTACTATCTAACAACAGACACGTTTGAACTCCACTGGTCAGTGATTCTCATTAGAACTCCAGGTCAACCAAATCATCCAGCTCAGAGAGCAAACCACTGAATTGGACTATATATTGTCCACTGAGTTACAAATTATTTGCTTGGTCTTTTTTGAATTTAAATGTATAAAGTCTTGAAAAGAAATATTTCTTCGCTCAATTCATATTTTCATTGAATAAACAAGGACCCGCAGGATCCACATATTCCAACATAGACTGACCAAACTCGATTCCTGAATATCAACATCGAGATAATTTAAACACATACTAGTAGTTTATATAAACCTTTGTTTAGATCTGAACGGACGATTTCATAGTACTTGTATGCTGAATGAATGTAAAACACCAAGTAGGAAATTATATTTATAAAATTTTTAGAGACTAAAGTTAAGATAAATCCAGTGTTTCCCACGACAGTCTATTCCAAGCCTTTTCAAAGGAATATAATCAAACAATTCATAATTATTCATACATCGTACCTGATGAGCAAGTTAATTTGAGTGTGAAATCAGTTGCTCAGTAGGAGTGAAAGGTATTGGGTTGAACGTGTAATATAACCATTAACATTGAGATACAAGTACATTCAACCGACGAGTTTTGAATAGGATAATTTCATTCCTAAACACAATTCATTTATTGAAATTTCGATATAACTATCACCAATTAAAAAAAGATTAACAGTGGAATCTAGGAATTGGGTTTCGTTCTATTTAAAATCCGTCAGCTGGATGTACATGCACCCCAGAGTTGATGTTCCCTCCAAGATATTTAGCAGATTCAAGCAAGCAATATATATGAATTAAAATATTGTTAGCTTTATTCATTAAATCTTTGAAATATAATAGAAAATGTTAGAGAAATTTACTTATTTACGCCTGTTACTCCTTGAGGGGGAGCATAGACCTCTAACCAACGTTCTCCTTCGAACTCTGTCCTGGATAATCCTTCGCAGTTGTTATTCATTTGTAGTGTAGAGAGCCTTCAAACCTTTACAGAAATATAACTCAATGAAAATATGTAGTCTGATCCCATAATGCCATACAGGTAAAAATGATAATAATGGTGATTGTTACCAACATTATTATTATTATGGAATAATATGGTCAAGACTTAACTATTTATATTTGTTCACTAACCTAAATAATAACGCATCTATTCGCTAACATGAATTAGAGGATCGTGTAGTAACCAATGTGATGATTTCTGTTGTAAATATAGAGGAACTTTATCAAGAATTGTATTTGTAAATATGCCCATATTTGGTTCAGAAAATGTTGTTCGCAATGTCAGTGACTTGGTCAAAATTATAAAAAAAATTGTTTTGTATCTTCTAGGACGTGGACGAAAACCAGCTCCTCCACCTCCACCAAAAATCAAGAACACTTCAGCTAATTCAATTCATGATCATCAAAGGTCACAATTAGAAGCACAAAATATTAAACCTTTAGAAAATATCAGCAGTTTTCAAGAGAGTGGAAAGATATCAACTTCTAAAGTTTTAACTGAAAATGGAAACTTAAGCCAGACTACCAAAAGTAAGTGTTGTTTATTTAATAGTTGAATTCATGAGTCAATTGAAGCTAGACCATCATGGAAAACCTGAAAGCACTGGACGGCCTAGTATGGGACTCCTCAGCAGTGCGCATCCACGATCCCGCCTCGCGATACTTCAACCCAAGACCTATAAGTCTCGCGCGCTAGCGCTTAACTTCTAGACCACTAAACCGAAACTTAGTGGTGTTAATATCTAACTTATTTGTTAAATAATGGTAGTGATTGCAGTTGGTCAGTCCCAAATAAGAGTGGGAAGATATAAGTAAAAAGAAACCAACTGAATTTGAACTTCACACCATTGAACCAGCAGGTGACTATCAGGAATCAGTAGCTAAATGGATAACGCTATGGCGTTTGAAGCGAACGATACTGCGTTCGAATCTCAGGGTAAAAATCGACTCTTAGATGCAGGCACATCCAGCTGAAGAGTCCCAAATAGGACGAAACGCGCGTCCTGAATTCCACTGCCAGCCACTATCCATCTTTGCTTCACCATTTCTTAGTTTCATTCTTATTTGTGTAAATTTTTAGAGTGATTTTTAATCGATAAGTTTAAATAACTCAAACAGCTTTTTTACAAAGTAGCATACCATTTACAATTCAGTTAATCAATTTGAGTAATGTCTTTTTTTCTACCTTGGTAGTAAGATAATATAGATGTGTATACATTAGAAAGAAAAGTGTATCTATATACATCCGGTTAATAATATAATCAGCTATTTAGAGATATAACCTAAAAAGTCTAAATTAATTTATGGTGATTATAAGTTTAATAAAGCATTTGTTAAATCTGTGAAGGATTATTGATGGTTCGAGTCCTGCGGTCGCGGTCGTGGATAAGGACTGTTGAGGAGTCCTATACTAGGACGAAACCGCCGTTCAGTGCTTCCAGGTTTTACATAATGGCCTATTTTTGATCGACTCATAAATTCAACTATTAAATAAATCATAATGTTGAGGATGGTCAGAAAACCTGTGAACTACAAAAAAGTGACTATTAGTGGAATTGAGGACGTAGTTTCAGTCCACTTTAGGACTTGTAAAGTGGATATACCTATATCACAGTTTAGATGTTCACAAAAAGACTAGGAGCTATACTTTTTGTTTTGAATGTTTAATGCTCTACCCACTGAAGCTGATCCATTAAGGTCCTTGACGGTAACTACGGGAAGATTTCAACGTTCACACATTGAGGATTTTAGTTAAGATAATAGTTGGATACCCTCAGAAAGCTTAGATGTGCAAACTAACTTTTCTATTAAGAGAGCGTTTTGTTAAGTTTACGAGAGCAAATATTAACATTTAAGTACTACCGATGAAAACACACGGATCCATAATACCTTAATGAGTTGATTTAACTGAGTGTTATTGCTACCTTGATACCTAAAATGTATAAATCCCAACTGCATCATTGAACTAAACTTGTTTAAGCTCTTGAAGGTGTAAGATTTGCTTGGCTTACACTCAAAGTTCACTAACAGTCTATCGTCTACTTCAAGTGTAGTTTAAAGTTTTTAGAAATAAGCAAAAGTATGTTAAATAATAACTAATAGATATAGATACTTTTTAGATGAATAGTATAACGTTCATCTCCACATACACACAAACTTTTCATGAAGTAAGCCTCCTATATTTCAATGTTTAGTTCTAAGATCGTTTGAATCTGCTCTTGATATATACATTTCTTAATGCGCGTCTCATCCAGTTATTTGCGTGAGGAAACCAAGAGTGAGTGGGAAGTTTTTATTTACTTACTGAATCGAGAACATGGAAGACAACGTATTCATAGATATCAATATCTTCACCTCAGAAGATTAAGCCACATTTCAACTAATAGCCTGTGCATGTTAGAATTTCACGGTGGTACATAACGGACTTCATTCGGAAAATGGCAAAATAACAATTTTCATAGGTAGTGTATGAAACAGAGTATACCTAGATAACAGTATTAGTGGTAACATTAACATTCATTCTCTGGTGCATCTAAATTATGCGTTCTAGATAGGAAGAACTGAGCATTCCGTTTCCGACTACTATTATGTGAAGTATAATCAGTTTGTTTACACTAAATCATCAACTTGTGAAATCCAAATCTATCAAAAGGAATATAACATAAGTGTGCAGTTATAAAAAACTGTAAATTACGACCAAAATGCTACAAAGTTGAAAACCTGAACTAGAGCCATCTCTATGGTTCTCTCTATATCTAAAAAGCCGTAACCCTTTTAGATTCTATGGGTTACCAGAAATCCATAAAATAAATGTCCCACTAAGACCTGTGGTTGATTTTATAAATTCACCAACATACAATCTTTCTAAACACGTAGCAGAGATTCTTAAACTATATGAAAGCGAAATAAAATTTGTAATAAAAAAATTCTACTGAATTCAAAGACATCACCACTACTATCCACGTGGAAGAAAATAAATTAACTGCGAGTTTTGATGTTTGCTGTTTGTTTACTATCGTTTCAATTAGAAAGGTTTCATATGTTGTGTATGACCTCTTGGATTCTGACATTGAACTAAAACAACGATGCTCACTAGGTGTTTCGGACATTAATAAAGCTCTAGATCTATGCTTACATTAAACATTTTCCAGTTTTTGATGAGACTCGTACAGATAAACAAAAAGTGGGTCTATGGGATCAGTGGTTTCTACAACAATTGCTTACTTATGCATTAATTTGAAATAAGTGCAGTCTGAAAGTGTCCCTTACCACGAAAAATCTGGTTGAGATGGATGAGACGGACTTTTTAAAAACGTCAATCGTATATCTAACAACAGCAAATTAACCAAAATAGATAGAATTAACTGACCAAAAATTAACTTTTATGAACTGTTTGGTTGATAGGAGACGCAATGATTACTTAATAAGTAATATATTCTGAGAGCGAACATATTCTGGGAAAAATCTAGATTACAAGTCAGCACATGCCAATTCCACTAAAGTGACAGTCGCCAAAAATTTGATAACCAGAGTTTAAAAAACTCGTCACTGAACCAAATGATATAGTAACTGAAATGAATTTAGTTATGTACTCTCTGATGTTGAATAATTACCCTAGGGAGTTTACAAAAAGAATAAGACAGATAAAAATATAAGGGAAAAGATAAACAGAGAGTGGGTGAATACGGTAGTGATCCCATATCGCGAAAGAACTGCAAAAGGGATCAGAAAGATCCTAAATGTTCAAAATATAAGAGTATTCTTTCAAACAAATGATACTCTAAGATCCAAACTTTTAGGAACTAAGTACTCAATATGAAAGGAGGAATAGCGAAATCGTGAATGCATAATCGAATGTAGTGGTTGTAATGCTGTGTATGTAGGTGGGACATCACGACAACTGGATGTGAGGGTGTTTGACTCATATCATCTATAAAAAATTGTCTGTTTTCATCGAAACATTCACTGATCAGAGGTGATAAATAGTGAATGACACTATCCTTTCACCTCAAATTCACTTACACATGCATACAATAGTTATTTAAACATACTTTGCAAATTAGATGTCTCGTATACATAACAGAAATTTCTTACTTCCAACATTGTTAGTATGAATGGATGATCGGTTTAGTATACAGTTCATCACAGAACGATGTACCTATCTATATTCGATAATTTCAATGTTTGATTATTTTAAGAACGATTGAACCAGACTGCCGATTGAAAAGTTGGATTTACTTCAAATTCAATCGCTGAGACATGAACTTTTAGTTGTCCATTGATTTATCTCCGATTTGAACAAACATATGAATGATCTATGGATATAAATCTTTCATTTAACTCAGTATATTACACCTTGGCTAAACCCTTTTGTGCGATGGTCATACTAAGAAGCCTAATACGTATTAAGTTGGATGACTTTATTTCAGACACTCGTTTTCTCATTCAGACAATAATGACAGGCGGGAAAGTGAAGCGAAAATGGCAAGTGTCCCAATTTCACTTGATAAACCTTGACTCAACATTTAAAGTCAGACAAAAATAAGCTAAGGATATATACTGAATAGGGTAAATAATAAACTGATACTTTCATATAAAAAGTCAAAGTTCATAAGCGAATAATTGACAAGGTTAAAATATGGCTCAAGACAAGTAAATAAACTGATCTGTTCGGAAGCTACAATATCAATTATCGACTTTTCATGCAACCAGATACTACAAACTCATGAATCCAATTATATGAAATGGTTAAGCGTTCACGCGCGAGACTGATAAGTCCTGGGTTTGAATCTCGTGAGGAGGGGATCGTAGATGCGCACTGCTGAAGAGTCCCATACTAGGACGAAACAGCCGTCCAGTGCTTCCGGGTTTTCCATGGTGGTCTAGCTTCAAGTGACTCATGATTTCAACCAATGAAATATCATATTTACTAATGTTTATTTTCTACTTCTGTTATATGGCTCTAATAAAAAGATGATTTCATTTATGTCAGTCTTAATCATCCATCACTAAAAAAAGGGGAGGGGGCTGAAAATAAAAAAAAAGGATTACAATCACACAGTATACAAACTGTTGGTCACTTTTCTTTAGAAAAAAACATGTATGCCATGTGTTTTGTTTCTCTGTTTCTATGGATTATTTAAAGAAATTGATTATAATTTTTTTTGTTTTGATTTACTCATTCATCATTTAGTTTCTATGTTGATTTCTATCGCATTTATTAGTAGCCTGCATAGTTTTATTAAAACTCGAGATAAAAGTTTGTTTGTTTTTTGTTTCAAAAAAAAAAAAGGTTTTTCATTTAACTAAAAAAAAACTACCTGACTAGACAAATGAAATTGATAAAGAGAGAAAAACTAATTTTCAATTTGACGGCACGGTAAGAAAAATTTAACTTGGAAATATTTATCATTCATAAGAATGAATAATTTAATCAATTATTCTGTGCTACTGATATCAGTAGATATAAGTAGTATGTATATATATCATCAATCAAAAGTGAAATGTCTAGCGGCAGAAGGTTAAGAAGAGAACAAGAACAGAGAATGATTAATGTGAAAACGAAGGAATAATCAAGTTTGAAACAATGGATGATCACTTTCAAAATGAAGAATTTACTGAGAGATTCCGTAATGTTGTGTTTAAATACATACGATTATTCCCACTTATATTCTTGTTCACTACAGTTCATGTATGTAATCCTACTAATTTTATAATAAATTAAAAGAAAAATATTCTACAGATAGAGATGATATTGAGTATCGGTTGTTTAAGTCAGTAAAATTATATTTGAAATAATCTCAACGATTGAAATTTAGATAATTCCAACGTTTCGTCCAACTAACTTGTATGGACTTCTTCAGGGTAATGATCAAAATCATCAAAGAAATATATAGCTTTTTAACAATCAAAACTGTACTGTGTTAAACAAATCATAGTCCAATTTCGGTCAAACTATTCGTTCTAATCTTGACGAATATTCGTATAACATATATTTATTTGTTATTCTAGGGTGTGGTGGAGATTGTCCTACCATATGAAGTATACAACATAAATTGCCACAAGAAATATTGCGAATTAACTGAAGCCGGATATATAAGACATTTGGTTTAAAGACGAGGTCACGGATGCATACTTCTCGGTAGTTCTGTACCACGAAATAACAGTCGTCTAGTGTTTTCTAGTTTCAACGATTGTTTAATCAAGATCATTTCGAGATGCGAAATTTGATATTCATGGTTTATGTTTAGAAATGGTGACTGGCTTCAAGATATATATCCTGGAGTTCTAGTAAGAAGCAGTGACCTGTAAAGTTCAACCGAGTCAGTTGTGAGATAGTAACTCACTGATGACAGTGGTGAATGTGTCGCTCAATTTCGTGGATTAGTTGAAGTTCTACATTAACACCGTTGGATGCCGGCTCAATGGCCTAGTGGTTAAGTGTTCGCGCGCGAGACTGATAGGTCCTGGGTTCGAATCCCACGAGCAGGATCGTGGATGCGCACTGCCAGTGAGGAGTCCAACAATGGAACGAAACGGCTCTTCAGGTTTTCCATGGTGGTCTAGCTTCAATTGGCTCATGATCTCAACTGTTTAAATGGTGAATTGTTAAGTCAGAGGAAAACGTCTTGTTAGATCTAATTTTTTTCCTTCAAGTAATTTTCTTTCAATGATTTCGATATTCTCAAGTGTTTTAGTGGAACTATTACGTGGAAACTTTTTAACGAAACACAAACAGTATCACGAATCATACATTCTCAAACTTTATTTATTTATTTTTTTTTAAACAAACAGGTCTTGGTAAAAAGGATGGGAAATTATCATCTTTAACAACTTTCAGATGTCGGTTTTTATGGTGTGGTAAAAAACATGGAAATTTTCTTGTTACACTTTATATGTTTGTGAAATTTAGCTATCTATCAAATGTTATTGGACAAATTTATTTAATGCAACATTTCATTGGTACAAAATATACATTATATGGTGCTCAAGTATTAGTCGATTTAATAAAAGGTCAAGAATGGCATCATTCAGGTCATTTTCCACGAGTTACATTTTGTGACTTAGAAGCAAAGAAATTAGGCAAAAATCATGTGTAAGTCTTAATTGATTAATTAATTCATTTGATGCATAGGATTTGAAATGAAAGTATCTGTACAAAGGTTTTTAAATGATTTCTGTGACTGTCTCTATATTGAAAAGAATGATTATAATATATATTAACTCTTTTTCATTACATAACTAATTAATGTCTATTTTTCATTGTTACTACCTCTACCACTATGGGATTTGAATCGAAAACTGCATCTCTGTGTTAATGTGGTATGGCAACTCGAACTGCTGTATGTACATACGAAGTTCTACGTTGTTACTGACTGACTGATTGACTTAATTGTTTTTCAATGTCATTCACTAAATAGTTTATTATTCGCATAACTGCACTTTTTAATTAATTAACTTAACTATTTTATTCATTAATAAAAATAAGAAAATAAGTTTTACGATGAAAACTTTTCATTCTGTTTCCAAGACTTAACTTCAATAGTTACTTATCAATAATCTATTGACATTATAATGAGTTTTTAGAACTACTTTCAAGTTAAACAATGACAGATCATTGAATATGCATGTTTTTTTGTGGAACAGGCAGCATTTTTTTAAAAAGTTGGTTCATGACATGAAGTTGTTTTGTTGTTGTGCTGATGTGGTGTGAGAACTTGGGTTACTACACAATCATGTCAGGTTATGTTAATTATAACGGACCAACTGAAATGAAACGTGATGGCGAAATTCATTCTTGTATCGGCTGTTTGAATCTTCCCATTAATATTTAATGCGGAAATTGATCAAGCTCTTATTGGCATATTTGCATTCTGTGTGGATTGCCTAAAGTCAAAAGCATTATAAGCAGAGATGGGTGGTGGCTTGGATTAGAACCCAAGACGCACATTTCGTGCTGCTTTGTGACTCGTCAGCTTAATATACCTGCATCACGCAGTTGAAGTTCACTCCGGGACTCAAGCCCAGTACCGTTCGCTTTAAACACTATCCAATAAAAGACTGATAAACTGCAGTCATAAACATCAATGGGGAGATTGAAACAACCAATGGTAAAATGAATTAAAATTCACTCCATTGCTTAAGCATACGGGCTATCAGTACTCAGTAGCTGAGTAGATAACTTGGTGGCTTTTGAAACGAAAGGTACTGAGTTCAAATCCCAGGGAGAACATCAACTCGGAAATTTAGGTACATCTAATTGACGAGTCTCAAATAGGATGAAACGCGAGTTCTGGACTGTACTACTATCCACCACCCATTTCTACTTAGAAACTGCACATATTCACAGCAAACGGTATTGTGTCCACTCCACTTGATTTTAATCATTAGCATTATAGATTATAGCGATAGTAGATAATTACATGAAGGATTACAAACTATGGATGTAATTTCACTTTCTGTCTTTATGTAATCTAATGTTCAGTATATATATATATATATATATATATATATATATATGTATAACAAATATATAGTTAGACAGTATTATACTGGTGGTCGGCAGCCTATGCTCCATTGGAAGTAACAGACGTAAGTAAGTAAGTAAGTATTACACTCATAAGAAAATTATTCATCCAATTTCTTTGTTATCTACATTACTGTATGATTTAAATATGAAATTGTATTATAGTTATAATCATATACTTAATATATTTACATTTCAGCTATACCCTTCAATGTGTTCTACCATTGAATATGTTCTTGGAGAAAATTTATATCTTTTTATGGTTTTGGCATGTATTAATTGCTTGTATTAATTTAATTAGTTTTCTGATATGGATTTATCGAATATTTTTACCAAAATCAAGAATGAAATTTATTATTGATTATTTAAAAGTATTAAATTTAATTCCAATTAATAATCAATTAAAAATCGATAATAAAATTAATGAATTTGTGAATTATTATTTAGGTTTAGATGGTTTATTTGTAATACGTTTAATTACATCTAATTGTGGTATTTTATTAGCTAGTGAATTAACAGCAGAATTATGGAAAAGTTATCAAAATTTATTTCTAGACCAACATATAACATCGGAACCAACATATTTTTGTATAAATAAAACAATCAATTCTATAAAGAATCATAAAGATCATTCATCCATTCATAGAAAACAATTTCCAATCATTTCAAATAGTTCAATACCTAATACAATAAATCCATATTATTGGACAAAACAATCAAAGAGTAATCATGATGATGATGATCATGATGGTGATGGTGATGATGTAATTAATTCTATTCATAAAGATTCTATTAAATATAATCATCAATCAATTCATGTGATAAATGATCCTATTTTAAGTAGTTGTTCACCAATTACACCAATTAGTCACATGTCAACTATTAATCATAATAAGCTAAAATCAACTCAAACACATCGATCACATCTTGGACGATTAGGTAATTCATCAGATGATATTGTTTAAAGTAGAAAAAAAAACACGGTTATTTTATTAATTTTTGTTAAAATATAATTCACCTCAGAAAAAAAAATGAAACTTACATAATGTGGGAATGTGTACTATTCACTTGTCAAGTACAATTGAACACAATCAATAATGAATTCATATTGTTGGTTTTCGTGAAAATATAGTGATTCTTTTCTCCTTTTTTTTGGTGTCTTGTTTTATGTGGTTGGTTACATGAGGATTGGATTGTATTATTGATCTGTTTAGTTTCATTGTTAGTGATTTATTCATTTTTATTTAAACAAAGAATACAATAATCGTCTATTTCAAATTAAAATAGAACAGAAGTGTATGAATGTATACAAAAAATATTTTTTATGAAAATCTCTATTAAAATTCATTTTAACATACCTATACTACTGATAAGTATACTACTATTAACATTATTATTATTAGCCTCATTTAAAAGAAATGAAACATGTTAGATTTTTATTGTTTAGCTTAACTATTCAAATATCATAAAGAATATAAAACACCATTATAATAATTATGAACTTATTTTTGAAGTGTTTCATGTCATGATTAGTTTAATATTCAATTAATAATAATACACTGTTGTTGTGTATTTATTTATAATTGTTCTGTGTTACAAGTGATTAATCTTAATGATAATATAGTAGTTGCATTCTTTGAGACAAATGATTTAATCCTGGGGCTTTTCTAGTAACTGATTTCAAGAGTTATTCCCTGAAGTTCTGGTGTGAAGCAGAGATCAGTGGAGTTCAACCGTGTCTGTTGTGAGATAGTAATTCCAAGTTATTTGCATGGAACTAATACTTGATGTGTGCTACCGATGTCAACAGATATAAGTGGTATGTATCACCATTCGAAAGTGAAATACTGGCAGTAGAAGGTTAAGAAAATCGAAGAAAAGAGAACGAGAACAGTGAATGATTGGTGTGGAAATGAAGGAGCAGTGAAGTCTGAGACGATTAATTGACATTTCGCAAATGAAATATGAACTGTATGATTCTGTAATATTGTATTCAAATACATTCGATTGTCCCCACTTATGTTCTCGTTCACTAAAGTACAGCTTAATGATGAATTCGTTGACAAGAGATTCCTTCAGTAAATTTCGTGTTCTTTTTCTTAAAAAAAAAACATATTTAAATGGGAATTATATGTCAGATCCCAAACTTAGTGATAAAAATAACCTTTTCAAGGGATAAATCTTTCTTTATTATAACACCAACTAAAGTAAATCATAACAATTTAGAAAAAAGATTGTATAGTATGTTTCCTGACAAAATGAAGTCATACCAAAAAGAAGAAAGATGGGATCAACTTAGATTAAATTAGATAATTGTAAATCATCATCGATAACAAAATAATTTACATTTTTGTATATATATATATCAGTCTATACATACAAATAGTGATTATATACCGTAAAAGATTAGTGAAAACTAAATGGATCAGTAAAATTTAACGGTTTAATTACTTCTTTTTTCTCCTTTTTCCATACATCAATCTACATACTACTTTTAACAAAAGTAGATTAATAAAACAAGATCATAATAATAATAATAATAAGAATCCATTGAATAATCCTCTTGTAAATTACTCTTATCATATAATTGGAGGTCGAATGGATTAGAAAAATGAAAATTCTTATTTAACTAATAAAAACCTATAGAGTAGTTAAGAATAATTTTAACTCATAGTAGCATAACTAATTTAAAGAAACTAATAAATATCTAGTTTAAATAGACTTTTAAATGTATACACGTATAGATGTATACAAACAAACAGATTTAAACGTGTATACAGGATTACTCTATTAATATTTTCAATACATTAATCTCTTCTTTTAATCAACAAACTGTTAAACATTCAGTTTAAGTTTCTTTATACAAAAATGATTAACTAAGACTTTTTCTTATCTTTTAATCATATATATATATATATATATGAACATTTGTTAGAAATAGGATAGTTAAGTTGTAAAAATGGATTGTTATAAATTTGAAATCAAATCGTCCAAGTATTGTGTTATCTTCACCTAATTTAACTACTCACAAACTTTGGTTTAATGATGAATATTCATTGGGATATAGAGTATAAATATTTATCGAAAAAATTTAATCATGAATAACATGTTGGCAGAGTAGCATCTGATGTATAAAATATATGGATGCTCTTGCATGAGATAACTGATAGGGTCCATAGTTTGATTTTAATGTTCATTAAATTTGAGAGATAAAAACTGGGACACTTAGTATCGTATTTAAAATCGGAATAATTGACTAGTAGTGAACAATTCCTTTCAGAACTGAACTGGATCATGTGTGACTTGATAGATGTTACTCAGTTTTCTTGGAACTAGTATATCCCCATTAGCTCCGTGAAGATTGTAGGCATGCCTTGCGGACGAAAGTTAACTAGCACGAGACTTAGGTTTACATTTTAATGTTGTCTACTTCCAGATCAACCAAAAGGAGAATGGATGTTAGTTAAAAACTATGTTTTTGTAATCGGAATGTTTAGTTCATCCATGTGTTGATTTCCCTGAAACTTGAAAGGGAAGACAGATTGGTATATCCCTCATATGTATTTATAAAAATAAACCATAACGGACTCTGTCACTCAAACGCAATGTAGAACCTAGTATATATGCGAGGTACCACGTTAGCACAGCGAGATGAAATTATTGGGACAAATCCCAGAGTAGTAGTAGTGAATTTAAGTTAAAAAGTTAAGGCTTGGAGAATGGATGCATTCATAGAAGAAAAAATTATAAGATATTTTTGAGAACTAAGATCCAGGAGAGGACAAAGAATAAATGCAGCTATGCAACCTGATCTATGCTTTGTCATTCAACGTCTAAAACGATTGATTTCGATAATCGCACGGACACCAACTAGGTAGTCTGAACTTACTAAACATGGTTAAGATCAACAGTCACGTTCCGGCTTTACCGTCCGTAGCGTTTATCTAACCTACACCAGCGAACATAGCGCGTTGGGGTAGGGGGTCGTTGAAGATACAAATAATAAATCCCAACCTCAATCGATAAAGATTCGCTACCCCAACAATGTTCACTCAGTAATTTCATTTATACGCAATGCACCAAACACACAAATCAAGTACTAGAAAACTACGAACATCATCTGTTTCTAAATGCCTTGCTTCATAGACATAAAGAAGAACAAAGTGATTTGCTGTGCGGTATAATCGTCCTTTTTTGTCAGACGTCACAAGTTAAGGAAAGTTAGGCGAATATTTAGAATTCCTACCAATATATTCTCAGACACCAATCGATCAGTTCCGATGAAATTTCGAAGATAAGTGAAGTGTTCAACATATAATGATAAAAACGAAACCTAAAGCAATATTTTACATTTACAGGAACAACCCATACTGAACCAGATTTAATTGGATAAAACATTAACATCAAAAATACTAGATTATGAGTCAATTGAATCTAGACCATCATGGAAAACCTCGACGGGCGTTTCGTTCTGTTGCGGGACTCCTTAGCGACAGTGCGCATCCGCGATCCCGCTCGTGGGATTCGAACCAAGGACCAACTGTTCTCGCGCGCGAGCACTTAGTCACTAGGCCATTGGGCCAGCCGGCATCCAACGGTGTTAATGTAGAACATCAATTAATCCACGAAATTGAACGACACATCTACCACTGTCATCAGTGGGTTACTATCTCACAACTGACTCGGTTGAACTTCACAGGTCACTGCTTCTCACTAGAACTTCAGGATATACTTCTTGAAACCGGTCACTAGTAAGTATATGGTCGGGGTCGCGGATGTGCACTGCTGAGGAGTTCCATAGTAGGACGAAATGGCCATCTAGTGTTTCCAGGTTTTCCATGATAGTCTAACATCAATCGGTTCATGATCTCTCCACAAAACCCCTTCTAATACCAGATTATTTTAAGAACTCTAATTAAAATCTTTTAAGATACATAATCTCATATAAAACAAAACAAAAACAACACCATGAAATGAAAGACAAAAAAAATAATTTATTCACAAAGAGAAAAAAATATTGAACAATAAAACCAAACGAACAAAACAAAAAAAAAGAAAGAAAAGAAAAAACAGTTTCTATACAGTAGAAAATATTTAATGAAAGATATTACATAATAGTGAATTTATTCTTCAATACATTTTAATTCATGAATTAATTTCATAAGATATTCTATTGGTAATTTATTGGTGTCAATTCGATGAATAATCCGATAAATTTTCATTGCTTCTAACCACATATTCTCATTACGTAATAATAAACAGAAATTATATCCCATTTTATAATAAATCATTTGATTAGAATAATTTGATTGAAGTAAGTTAATCAATGAAGTGAATAGTTTAGAAAAGAATTTCCTAGAAATGATTGGATCATTACATGTACTACTATTATTTATTAAATTTAAGTAATATTTATAGTGATTACATATGAAATAACAACAAACATATGAATCTAAATAATGAATAATCGAATCATTATCTGTTATATTAGATAAAATAGACAATGTAGAATTGATCAAATCAATATTAGATTGTAATAAACCATTGCTAATTAGTGCAGCTTGAAATGTAATTGGATAAGATGGAAATGATTTATTGAAAGTGTAATAATCTGATAATCGTTTCAGTCCGGCTTTAGTAAATTCAATTGGTGGAATACAAAATTTTGTCCATTGATGCATGAATAGTTCCGAGTTGAATAATTCATTGTTCATAAAAATTATACCAGACTTTTCACAATATTGATACCATAGTATCCATAAATTTTGGAGAAAATCACATTTATCTGGTAGTATGTCTAAACACAAGGAAATAAAAGGTGAGTAAGCAGTATGTTATCTATGTTATACAACAGAACTTTAAATACTTATCATTGTGTTGCAATCCTAAATGCTGTGGAACTCTTAAAAATGCCCTGGTACGGTCGAGAGTGGAGATAGTCAGCTCTCCCTCTCCAAATGCTCTCATACGGCCACGTGTATACACCTACTGCCAGGAAAGTCCTACTCACTGATTTCTCGCACCATGGGTGTTGTTTACGAAATTTAGATGTCTGACGATTTAAACAGGTTGATGTATATGGGAAACCCACTGGGAGGAGTTGGAAAATCCCGATAAAGCGAATAGGAAGCATCATTTACTGAACAATAAAATTAGTACGGATATCTAGGTAATAAAAAGGACTTAGACAGCTGAAAGGTAGGTGATAACTTATGATCAGATATGCATAATCGTACCATTGCATTAAAGCAAGGATAATACATCTAGTCGTGTTAACAGTTCCTAATAATAACAACTAATAACGAATAAAATTAAATGATGTTGGCAGTAAATACTTCAAATAGCGTGTGCCAAATCGATGTTGTATTTGCAAATAGCTTTATTATATCAGGGATCTCAGTAAAACTACAATCAATATTTGAAAAAAAACATTTAAACCAGATGAAAAAGTAACACCTAGGTGACATGGTTTAGTGGCTTATTTATTTGCCATATTGAATACAGGACTATGGATCTCGAACTTATGGTACCTAAATCCAAAATCGAA